ACGTTTTAAAATGTTCCTCTAGCGGTGGATGGATGGAATGTCTTCGGCTCTTTTTGAGCTTCTTGAGTTTGCCAATGAGCCATTTTTACACTCATATTATAATTTTATTCGCAGAGATAATGAAATGTTTATTAATTATGAATAATGTGATCATATTGTGGTGTGGGTTACTTATATCCACATAAGTAGTATGTAACGATGGTCAAGCATTGAATGTATTTCAGTAGAAGATAGATAACGACAGAACGGGAAGGAAACGCAATGGGTATGAAAATGCCTGAATAATCAGAGACTATGTACTGATATTTACAGAAGGAACAGTCAAGATTTATACAATTGACTGGCTCAGTGGTCTAACGGTTAAGTGCTCTGGTGCGAGACTGGTAGGTCCTGGGTTCGAATTTCGCGAGTGCGGGATCGTTTGATGCGCACTGCCACTGAGGAGTCCCATAATAGGACGAAACGGCCGTCTATTGCTTTCAGGTTTTCCATGGTGGTCTAGCTTCAATTGACTCATGAGTTCAACTATGAAAATTGACTGATAGTTTACAACTTAACTATTAACTGTATTGATCTCATATTTTACTGAGATATTTTGTAATGTTGTGCTAAAATACATTCAATTATCCACACTTATCTTCTTGTTCACTGAAATATTACTCTTACTTGAATCTAATTATGTTCCAACTAAGCGCTACAAAAACTCTTTGAATATTTCTATCAATAATTCAGTAGGAATTCCATACCGAATCATGTTTCATTGATAAGATCTAATAAAATCTGAGAGATGTATATTAAACCAATGAAGATAATAAATGTATTATTATCACTGCAAGCTTTATTCCATATTATATTTTTGGTACAATAAAGAATTCTCAACACAAAGTATTTCAACAAAGTTTCGGTTTCTTATTTCTTGAACGATCCCGATGATACATATTGAAATCTTGTAGTGATATTGAGCAATCGTTTTGTAAATCATTTAATCAGGATTCTTGAATTACGGTTACAACATAGTTATGATACATTTTTAGGCTTAGTATGAATTAAATACAGTTCACTTTATAAGTTAATGATCTCAAGCTAGATGTTAGCAATTCAGGAAATGACATTTGAATAATGTTCATTTCTTTTGATACATATTGACAGCCACCACGATCTCTCTGATTGTGACTTGTACATCGAACTCTTCATAAACGCGCCTGAATAGGTTATGAGATTAATAGATATAATGATGTGTTAAAACAAATGAAAAACAGATAACTTGTTGAGATATCTAGATGATAGGAATAAATAGCCCAGATATTCAAGGAGGTTGCCAGTTAAACTTATGCAGCATGGAATTTCATCTCAATAATGATGAGTTTTACATTTACCTGATCTGGGTGGTAAAGTGTATTAAACTGGGATTGTACATTTTTATTATATAAATTATTAAAAGCTTCATGGATTTATTTTTTTATCAAAGAGGAATATATTTCAGATGGTTGGCAGTAGTCGGCATAAAATTCTAAACATAATGAATACAATATCAGGTCCCTTACTCTAGCGATCACAATTCAACTTGACAGATAGTATTCGAGAATCAGTAAAGGACTAGACATACATGAATTTAGTCTCTACTTACTGAATAATCAACTCTATAGACTAATAAATTTGAAATAGAATATATATGGAGTTTTGTTTTTTATGAGTTTGAGTTCACCAATTACTTCAGAAACAAATTTTATCTTGTATCTTCCAATTGAAATTAAACTTCACCCAATTGCACAAGCAGGTGGCTATCAGGACTCAGTAGCTAAGTGAATAGTGCGATGGCATTTGAAGTGAATGGTGCTGGGTTCGTGTCCCAGAGTGGATGTCAACTCTGGGACGTAGGTAAATCCAGCTGACGAGTCCCAAGTAGGACGAAACGCACGTCTTGGATTTCAATATTAGCCATTATTCATCTTTGCTTTAGAAAAATAGAATTTGTCAACTTTGTATGAACTGATTTTAATATGTTCATGTTTAAATAAATGGTACAAATTCCTTAATTTCGATAAATTTCATTGGCACATCCCTTTGACTGTTTTTTACTTCTTTCTTTTCCACTGTCTCACTAACATGTTTTTGAATAAGAGACCAGACATGAATATCAATGATGAATCTTTTAGAATTGAAGCCAACGTAATCATAAATCAGTGCTTTATAAAGTAGTAGAAATGTAACATCAGAGGGGGGTTTTGTGAAAATTTTAGCAATTTTATATAGTTGAAATCATTAGTCAATTGAAGCTAGACCACTATGGAAAACCTGGAAGCACTGGACGACTGTTGAATGCCGGCTCAGTGGTCTATTGGTTAATCGCTCGCGCGCGAGACTGATAGATCCTGGGTTGGAATCTCACGAGTCGGGATCGTGGATGCACACTGCTGAGAAACGTAATATCCCGTTTATTCACCAAATAGTGCTGTAAATGAATGCTTACTATACTCGGCTTTGAAGTGATACTGTAGTGAACGAAGATCTGGTGGGGATAATCTACTTAATGTTTAATGCAAACTTACAGGGTGTATTGCTAAATTAAGAAAACCATACATTAAATACTTCATTTACAAAATTTTTATTAATTATCCTTTACATCCTTCATGATTCTTTCAATTCTCAATTCCTTTTATGTTTCCTTTTCTATTTGCTTCAGTTCAATATTCTCAACCTTCTTTTGATAGACAAATTTAATTAATCAGAAAGGGATTTTGTAGATATTATAATAAATTAATAATTGAATTTATGAATCAATTAAAGCTAGATCACTATGGAAAATCTGGAAGCACTGGACGACTGTTGAGCCTTTACATCCTAAAATTGGACTCCTCAATAGCATTAAGACGAAATGGCTATTCACTGTGTTTCATCTTTTCCATGATAATCTAGCTTTAATTAACTCATGAATTCAATTATTAAATTTAATTAATGACTTGTAACTAATATTCATATGTTATTCATATCTGTTATAAGAAATTAATATACTTCCCATTATTATTTCCCATTTCAATTACCTGACTACTATATATTCTTATTTGTATACTTTTAATTAATACTTCGAATTGTTTTCTTAGTTTCTAGGTCTCATTTTTAGTTCCTATAAGTTCTTATACTTATTAAACACTAACTATAATAAGCTAGATTTAAATCTATGAACTATTAAAGGTGTTACATAGCGTAAAAGTTACTGAATGTTGTTGTAAAAATTGTTAAATTGGAAGTTTTTTCATATGGATTGACTACAATGAGGTAACTATTGAAAAATCAGATGATCAAATAAGAGTTGGTCTGTGGTGTAAAACTTAAAATATAACAATTTCCATAATACTCTATAAATATCACCATTATATTATTATTAGTGATTAACCGTGGTCAATGAAGTTCAGTCATGTTGAGCATGAGGCAGTCAATAATATTCATACAATATAATAAATTATCTACAGTCAGAAATATAGATCATTAGATACTAATTCAATGATCTATAAGTTAAAAATTCATTTAATGTTTAAAGTAAATTTAATCAATACCTATCAGAGTCATGAATATTAATTATAAAACAAACTCCACCTGTAGCTCTTCTAGAGTTACTGCTGATCCCAAGCACAGGTAAAGGAGAAGGGTTGGGCATGAAGTTAGCGACCCCATCCTGTAGAAAAACTAACTCGCTAAAAAAAACGCTAACCAGGAAAAAAATAAAACAAAAAAAAAAACAGCTATTTAATGTTCCTCTATTTTCAATAATTCTTATCGTTAAACTTAACCTATCATTTCAATTGTGTTCAAACATTTTCATAGTTGAAATCATGAGTCAATTAAAGCTAGACCACGATGGAAAATCTGGAAGCACTGAACGACCGTTTCCTTCTACTATGGGGCACCTCAGAAGTGCTCAAAATCATGGATTGGTTAAAATTAGATATTATTACTATCGAATGTTGGCTCAGTGGTCTAGAGGTTAAGTGCTCTGGCGTGAAACTAGTAGGTCCTGGATTCGAATCGTGGATGGGCACTATCACTGAGTAGTCCCACAGTAAAACGAAACGGCCATTCAGTGGTTCTTGATTTTTCATGGTGATCTAGCATCAATTGACTCATGATTTCAACTATGAAAATACTGAAATCTCCACAAAACCCCCCTTCTGATCTATCTTTATCAATTCTATTTGTAAATCAGTTTCCATGTTTTACGAAACTAATATAGTTTACTAAATTATTTATTCCATTTAATAAAAAAAGAAAAAGAAAAAAAAGAAAAACGAATAAGGAAACATACAATAAATTACATTTACATTACAGAATCTATTAAATGTTAATAATTTCAATCAATTATCGATTAATTTTTTATCTTTATTACAAAAAAAACAACAAAAATTGCACTAACCATTGATTATTCAACCACCTCCGCCCCGTTCTTCACTTCTTTAACATTAAAGTGCATTAATATTAATACAGTAAAAGTTTAATTACATTAATAAAATCGATAATTTGCGTAAATTTTTTTAGAAAAAAAACAAAAAAATAAAATAAAATAAAATAAAAAATAAACTTAAAATTTGTATAAAAATTTGATAAACAATTTTTTTGTGCTTTATTTATTTATTTAATTATTTTCCTCAAATCGATAATTTGCGTAAATTTTTTTAAAAAAAAAACAAAAAAATAAAATAAAATAAAAAAAAATAAACTTAAAATTTGTATAAAAATTTGATAAACAATTTTTTTGTGCTTTATTTATTTATTTAATTATTTTCCTCAAATCGATAATTTGCGTAAATTTTTTTAAAAAAAAAACAAAAAAATAAAATAAAATAAAAAAAAAATAAACTTAAAATTTGTATAAAAATTTGATAAACAATTCTTTTGTGCTTTATTTATTTATTTAATTATTTTCCTCAAATCGATAATTTGCGTAAAGAAAAAAAATACAAAAAAAAATTTATTAATAAAACAAAAACAAAAAAAATAAACTTTACATTTAAAAAAATTTTGATAAACAATTTTTTTTGGTTTGTTTATTTATTTAATTAATTAATTAATTATTATTATTTTTGTTTATTTATTTAATTAATATACAATATATAATAAATAATAATTAATAATAATAATAATGTTATTATTTAATTATTTAAATATTTATTTACAATTATTTATTTATTTCACATGGATACATTCAATGATTTATTGTTTATTACAAATAAATAATAATAATAAAACAATTGAAGTAATGATCACTAATTCAAGTAATCAAATGATAACTAATCATTCTATGATAACAAATAGAACATCTAATTTAAAAAGTGTCATTGTAGGAGCATCATTTACAATCAGTAGTCATGATTTATATAAAATAAAAAATAATGAACATTATAATGATATACATAAAATTATATATGATCAATATTTTAAAGATTATAATCAACACCAACATCATCATCATCATCATCATCATCAACATCATAAACATAAATCTCATCATTATGATCAAGATCATGATCGTGATCATCAAGATCATGATCAACAGGATCATGATCAAAATTATAAAGATACTAATGATAAAACAATTTCATCTTCTTGGATATATAATCAATTAAAACAATATTTAACATGTATTTATCATAAACAAATAAATTGTGAAGATCAATTTGTTACAAAATTACAATTGGAATTATTAAAAATTCAAAAAAAGAAAGAAAAATATGAAAATATAAAAATACAACAACAACAACAACAACAAAAACAACAAACACCAATATTAACAGTGAAATTAGATACTAAAAAACAACCTTACACAAAACGTATTCATGAAAAAGAACAAAAAGAAACAAGACATGATTCATCTATTATATATCAATTAAATAATAGAAAAGAAATTGAAAAATCTGAAGAATTTACAACACATGAATTTTATCAAAGTTTAAATAAAGATAAACATTTAAATTATTATTATCATGAACATCATCGACATCGAGATCATCGGGATCATCATCCTTATCCTATTCTTGATCATCATCGTCATAAAGATCATCATCGTTCATCATCACATTATGAATATGGATGGTTTGATAAAATGGATAATATGATGAAAAAATTAGAAGATGATAAACATGATGACGATGATGATGATGATGATAATGATGATGATGGTCGTAAAGGAAAAGATAAACATTCACACCATCCTCCAACCTATCGAAAGCATTTACATAAATATTAAGTTATTTACAATGTCTCACAATCATTATCATCATCATCGTCGTCGTCATAATTACTCAAAAGAACATCATTAATGTTATCACCAATTCTCTGATAAAAATTCTCTGACAGTGACGTATTTTCTGTTGTTGAAATCTTGATATATGGTAAGTATAAACCTTTTTAAGAAAAACTACCATTCTTAATGTTCGTAATGAAAACAATCATAGAAATAAATATACCAGGAAATTTTTTCAGTCTTCTATGTATATTAGATCAATTAATTAGCTTGAATATTTTCTTTCATAACATAATCAAGTACATGTCTATTGTTATAAACTTACTTGTTTACGCCTGTTACTCCAAATGGAGTATAGGCCGTTGACTAAAATTATCAAACCCAGTCTTTCTTGGGCCTTCCTTTCTAGTTCTATCCAGTTTTTATTCATTCTTCTCATGTCTGTCTCCATTTCTCGGAGTAATGTGTTCTTTGGTTTTCAGGATGCCATGTGAATGCTTGTCTTGTGACGCAGTTGGGTAATTTTCTCAAACTGTGTCCTATCCACTTCCAGCACTTCTTCCTGATTTCTTCCACCATTAGAATCTGGCTTGTTCTCTCCCACAGTAGGTTGTTGCTAATAGTGTCTGGCCAATGGATCTGAAATATCTTGCGTAGATAACTGTTAATAAACACCTGTATCTTCTGGATGATAGCTATTGTTGGTTTGAAGTAATTACTAGGATACCTTGTTTAAGCTAAACTTTGTGTTATTTATTATTTATCAGTAAAGTATATGATTTAGTGAATGAGAACTCTAAATCACGTTATCCAGTATTGAAGTCAATGAACTATTCAGCATATGACTGGGTCTACTTAAAGACTAAGATGTTTACTCGAATTGAACTTTCAGAAACAATTAATGTAATATTATTTATTCATTAATGCTGATAAGATTCTATTAGTCAATCTAGGATTTGAATGTTTAAAATAAAAAAGGCTACATTGTATTGGAAAATCGCTTATATTAGTAACCGAATTATAACTTGATAATACTAGGAACTATACAAGCATAGCATTGGTTTTTATTAAATGATCAATTACTGTAAACTGTTTTTATACTATATAATGCTTGATATAAAAAGAGTGAATGTTCAATACTTAAATTTAATAGTTCAAAGCGTGAGTCAATTGAAGTTAGACCACCAAGAAAAACCTGGAGGCACTGGATGGCCATTTCGTCCTATTATGGGACTCCTCAGCAATGTGCATCCACGATTCCGCCTCACGAGTTTCGAACCCAGGACCTACCAGTCTCGCACGTGAACACTTAACCTCTAGACCACTGAGCCGGTTAGAATCCAACGGTTTTATTGTCTAACTTCAACTAATCCATGAAGTTGAGCAACCGTTCACCAATTGTCTTCAGTAAGTTCCTATCTCACAACAGACGTGGTTTGAACTCCACTGGTCACTGCTTCTCAAGTTTAAATAATTTAATATCACCTTTGAACGATTTCCTAAACCATTTGGATTTCACTGAATAAATCTAAAGTTAACCTTTGACTAATAAAGAAAAATTAATAACTTTTTTGTGTGAGTGAACACCATTAAGCTTTTACTATCCGACTTTCAGTATTACCGACTTTAAACATTAAAGTAATTTTGATGACCTCCCACATTTAATTCATTTCCTTGATATACCCATCTATATGTCAGTATCTAATATTCTATCTAGGTACATACCTCTTTCACTATAAAATTACACTACTTATCAAAAATATACGTTTAACTTTGCTTTTATATTTCCGTTATGACACCTTAATCGATTTGTAAAACTAATTTAATAATTGAACTGACCACAATGAGAATTCTCCTCGAATGACACATCTTTAAACCGCAATCTGACAGATTACAGATGATTTCATCAGTGGTTACCTGACCAAGTATATAGATTAGATATAAGAAAAAAAGTATTATATATATAATATTCAACCAGAATAGTATGACTATAAGTTACAAACCGGGTTTAAAAAATGGGTGGTTGCTAGCGGTAGAATCCAGGACGCGTGTTTCATCCTATTCGGGATTCGTCAGATGGATCTACTTACATCCCAGGGTTGATGTTCACCTCGGGACTCTAATCCAGACTGATTAATTTCAGTCTTAAACATTAATGAGAAGATTAAAACAACAAATACATATAAATCAAATTAAAAAAAAGTGGCAATAAACGATAAGGATGGAAATTAGATAACTAGCCAACAATCTTTGCATAACTAACCGTTATAACAATTCTAAGTGCTGAAGTACTGTAGTAGACGAGAACACAAGTGGGGATAACCTAATGTATTTGAACACAAAATTACAGAATCTCTTAGTAAAATCTGAGAACCATACACTTACTTGTGCGTGTTACTCCTAATGGAGCATAGGCCGCCGACCAAGAGAACCATACAGTGAATACTTAATTTGCAAAATGTCAATTAACCGTCTCATATTTCGTTGTTCTTTCGTTTTTACACACTAATCATTGTTTGTTCTCTTTCTTTTTTCTTTGATCTTCATAACCTGCCTCCAGGCTTTTCACTTTTGATTGATGATACATACTACTTATATCCGTCAACATCAGTAACGTACACCACAATAGTAGAAGTTACACATAAATTAAAAGCTTTTAATCACATTTTCACAAAGTATCTCAATGATATTGACCTATGTAACATTTAGTCAGCAAAGAAATCTTAGTAAAAAGTGGACTGTATATGACACTCCTTAGTATTGCTTATTAGCTATTGAACTTAAGTTTTATTAATAGTAATGGACGCTTAGAAACTATTCGGATGAATAGTTAGGTGACTAAAACATTTTGTTCAACCTTTAGTAAAAGATTACTATTAGAATAAGACAATTAACTGATGAATATTGGGTTAAGCCGGTAGAACTGTTACACACATTGTTCTTTAAACCGACCTTCAAATACTAACCAAATGGACATCAGGAGATAGAATCCATACCTAATCGTTTTATTCCATATTTTTAAGCAATTAAAACTGTCATTCATGTGTAAAATATCTAAGTAGATAGAATTTATCAGGTAGAAAATGACAAAATAACAAAAGTTTATTGACTTCTCCCCACAGTACATCAGTCAGTTCTTCTATTCAAAGGGGTTTAGAATAACAAACTCAGTTTTAACACTATAAGATCTGATGTGATAAGAGAGCAGTATATCTCAAAATGATATTGTATTGGTTCATGATTGTAGATTTGATAAGAAGTTATATGTATGGATTATATTTTAGAAAACAAATGTTATGCAGTTTAGAAATGGGGTGTAAATACCCAATATACATTGCTTACATGAAGTACTTACACAATGAAAATGACTTCCGTTGATGAAATCCATTATCTTTTAGTTCAGTGAAGTTAACATGGCTTTTATGGTGTTATACAAAAGTGTAAAAGGGCATATAATGAAGTTTATTGAACCCTTAGCCATACGAAGATTCAAACCCCCTTTGTGTATACAAAAACGGTTTGTTCTCACCATAAACCAACCATTCTGTTTATCCAGCGTGATAAGTCTCCACGTTGTTTTTCTTATTATTTTCTTCGTAATCTTTGTCTCCTCTTACCCTCCATTTTTCTAGTTGACTTGTTATTTATAAATGTTCTTAACAAGTTTATATGTCATCAGATTGTTCAGAATGTATTGCGCTGTAATGTAATGCATTAGGTAGTTCTGATAATCTTCGTCTTCTTATTAAACTATCCAAAGTTAACTGAACCTATCAATATCAGAAAACGTCGTTTGAAAGAATTGGGAAAGACTATTCTACCCTTTAAGACTCCCCATTAGATTATAGTTTTCAAAGTGATGAGTTTCAAATCAGCTAACTCGAAACTATTTAACTAGAGATTTTTCGTATTACGAGTTTTGGTTTCCATTTTCCTACTACTTAATTGTTTATAAGTAGTTTACTTGTGTTAACAAATTAATTGGTAGCAATATTAGCAATCAAACGTTGTTAAAGTAGGTATCCGTAACTTATTCATGTTAAGTACGAATTTATTGACCAGGTGTAGGTGAATAGTAGAAATTAATGCTTTTTCAATACTTACTGACAATTACTGTTATGGAAAACAATTTATATCAAATAGTTCTATGTGAACCTAATTTAAATTGTAATTAATTTGATGCCTAAAGTATTTAGTTATCTTCAAATTACAGCTGATTTTATGCATTAAACTGGTACATTAAAGAGGTACAATAATCAGGTGGTAATCTTCACAGGGCACTATGGAATGATGGACTTATCGTGCTAATCTTTATTCCACCTTGTAATCATTGAATGGAGTCCCACAATAGCACGAAACGGCCGTCCAGTGCTTCCAGGTTTTCAATGGTGGTCTAGCTTCAACTGACTAATGATCTCAACTATTGAAATTTTTTTCTTTAGGGTTGTTTTTGAAATTAATAAATCCAAAAAGTCACTGCATTCGCCATATAATACAAACACAGTATAAATCTAAACACCCCTAAACTTAAAATTGGAATATCCAAGACCTAGATAAGTGGTCAAAACGACCGTGCATTCATTCAAGCTCACAAATCACGTAAACAATTAAGATACAAGTTTACAATGCATTCCAACCAATATATCTCACTAGGTGCCACTAACTAGGGCACTTTCGATGTAGATTTTAAAGAATGACCCGTAATTAATTGAATGTAACCTATCAACGGAACAGGATAAAGCTAAATAAATATATCACTAAACAATTGCTTGATATATTCTATATGTTATCTTCTTTTCCTAACAAGTTGATCATAATTTAAAATAAACTACTTTAGCGAACATAGATTATGGTGATATTTTATTCCTTTTGAGAGGCAAGAACGGCTATGTTTACGGAATACAATGAATTCTTCGTCTAGCGTCACACCTTCTCCATAGCTAGACGTAATCGAACAAACGTAATTAATTTCAATAGTTGAGATGAGTCAATTGAAGCTAGACCACCATGGAAAACCTGGTAGCACTGGACGGCCGTTTCGTCCTATTAGGGGACTCATGATCTCAACTATTAAAATTACTATAATATCCACAAAAACCCCTTCTGATATCAAATATAATTAACTTAAAATTTTCGGTAAAAAACTGATATAAGTTGAAAATTTGTACAGTTAAACTTTGATTTAGTGGTTCGAAGGCTAAATGCTTACCGCGATTCACGAAGACCCTACAATAAACCAATGATGAGGTCGTGGGAGCGCACCAATGAAGGATCCTATACTAACACGTAACAGACAAGGAATGCTCATTAATTTATACTAATGTTTTCAATGGAGGTTAGTCTGTCACAAATACCAACTAACTGTGAAATCTCAAAAATGTATAACCCACTAGATAACAGTAAAATTGTTTGGGATTCAAAATTATTATACAGCTTAAATTAAATTTCAAAAGGCAGGTGATGTGATAAAATGTAAAAGAATTGATTTTATTAGGCAATCCAGCCCTACTTTGTATAAAAATAAAAGCAATTTCCCCACAGACTAGTCAGACGTTTTCCAACAATTAGGAGGAATAGCTAACCTTTGAAGTTGCTATACAATCTGTGTTCACCAACAATTTATAATAATGACCATTTTAAATTAAGGGGTAAATTCCTGGGAAAACGAATAACAGTATTCCACTTTAATCTGAGAACTTTCAGAAACGTATACCCTCAATCACTGGAAGAATCACATCTAAGAGCGGCCAACACGTTTGAAACCATGATTATTTAATTACTAGTTCTGACTATCATGCCGAGTCAAATTACACGTAAGTATGTCTGCAATACTTACCAGATCATCAATTTCTATTCTTCTTGCTTCCAAATTCTCTAGATGAATAAGTAGATTTCAAAAGTCAGAACTACGAAAAACCTTTTACCAACAACTTACTCATGAGACAAATCCAGAATTATTTATGTTACAAAGCTACAAATTTTGTGTTTCGTAACCACACAACTATTGACCCAATGAATCAGAAGCCGGTAAAAAGTATTTCAAAAGCCATGCCAGGACATGCACATTATTAATCTATAAGTATGAATGATTATCGCTGAACGACAATGAATGATAGTCGAGCTAAATCGCTAACTAATTAAATTTGAAAACCTTAAACCATAGGACTTCACAAAGTTAAGATTATAATCTTAGAAGCTGTAAGATGGTCATTTTACTACATCTCTTAAATGGATACAGTTTGTTGAGATGTAATATGATCTGAAAGTAATTACAAAACACTGAAGTAGCTGTATAGATTACCCTCATAAGAGTAGAATCTGCACATCATATAGAGCAAAAACTAACGTCACGAATACAAGTAAAATCATTTGTTCTGAATTCAACCACAAAAAGCGATCAAGAATCGGCTCGACAGCCATCCTAAAAGTTTAAAGTTATCCATCAAAAAAAGATGATATAGGAACAAAAATGTCCTGGACTGAATTCCAATGATAATGAACAATGTGTATACATTTGCGTATTTCGAGTTCTTAAAACCTCATTTATAGGTTAGCAAGTACATCGGAATTTCAACCCTACTCTACTGCATCGCCGATAATATTGACCTAAAATGACTTATTTGGTCATTCTGACTTTGTAAATACACTGAGGTTTTGGGTCATTTCTCCTTGCAAAAACAAATAAACGCAAATACCACATATAAACAGATCAATTCCAGCATCCAATAAACATGACAGATATGGTCCTAAGAAAGTGTAAAAGCGTGTCAGGGAAAATCTCTTCAAAACATAAATATGTAAACTGTAATTTTAAGTTTTATTGACGGACAATAATATTAACCTAGTCTGCAACTGAATTTTCAAACAAGCACTTTATAATTAAACAAGACCTTATACTCGAAAGGTTAATTTATGTGTGAAAGTCTAATCAACGAAGGTCATCTTTAAAAGCGCTGATCTCAAAAGACGTTTTTCAGTAAGCATAGAATCCACCTTTAATTATTAAAACCAAGGCTGAAAATTATTAAAATGACTATAATTCGACTTGAAAATATTATTCAAAGTTTGAAATATCGATCGGTAACAAAATCCATATGAGGAGCTTCAGTAGTAAATAATACAATATTTACAAATAATTGACATATTGCAAGTTAATATGACTGGAGAATTCTCTTTCTAAAACGGAACATTTTTCGCCGTTGCTTTTTGGACAATATTTTGACCTTCCCTCTTTAGGACAGTTAAAAGAGTCTGAGAACTCTCCAGAATCTGTTAAATAAAGCTATAGTGGTAAACAGATATTACAAACCTTCATATAAGCTGCCTCAGACTCTGCGATCGTTCTGTCATACTCATTCCGTGTGGACAGTTTTTTATCCAACGATTCATTTACTCTGCTAAGCTTATCATTGAGAACACTTATTTCTCTTTGAAGTTTAGCGCGTTCAGTTTCATCTTGTTGGATCTGTCGCTGTAAATCTTCTCGTCTTTTACAAAGCTCTTCAAAGCCTAAAATTTCAATCAGTAAGCAAGTAATGCCATACATTTTACAAGTTCATTATTATAGTTCTGAAGTGCAGCTCCTTGGTGAGACATGAGATCGAAAAGTCCTGGAGTTAGTACGTCAAATGGTTCAAATGGTTGAGGACAAAATAGAAGAAGCTTTCGCTTAACGGGCTTCCGTGTCTGGTAGCAGTGGATCACCAATACCTCCAGGCAAGAACCTAGGTATATGAACGATAATAGAGGGAAAAAAAGAATTTGGTAAATCATAATAATATGTTATCCTTAGTCCTTAAGAATAAGTCAAGTTTTCTCTTAAAGGACTCCTGGGAGGTCGCTTGAACTAGCTCAGTCGGCAGCGAGTTCCAGCACTTGACAACTCTAACGGAGTAGAAGTTGTGTCTGCAGTCTGTTCTGCTATGTAGGGTCCCCAATTTCTGGGTGTTACCTCTGAGGTTAGTGTTATGACTAAGCTTAAGAAGTTGTTTAAGGGGATGACCAGAAGTATTAAGGATACTATAAGTCATAAGAAGATCACCTCTAAGACGCCTGTACTCTAACGGGTAAAGGTTAAGTGATTTGAGGCGCTCTTCATAAGGTTTGAATTTGAGACCCCGAACTGATTTCGTGGCTCGACGTTGTATACGTTCCAGAGTGACCTTATCCTTTTGGAGGGAGGGAGGAAATACTATGTTTCCGTACTCTAAGTGGGGACGAATAAAACTGTTGAAGATTATGTGGAAGGTTCTACCGTCAAACTGGCCAAAAATGCGCTTCAATGTTACCAGTGCAAGGTATGCTTGAGAGGCGTTTTTGTCACAGTTCGCATACGATTTCAGGTCGTAGGGTACCAACACTCCTAAATCTTTTTCAACTTGGGAAACTTCTAGAGGTGAGTTACCTAAGTTATAACTATAGTCTGCAACATGTCTCAGATGGACTACCTTGCACTTTGAAGTGTTGAAGGTAAGTCCGTTGTCGTCTGCCCAACTTTGAAGTCGAGTCAGATCCTCCTGCAGAACTAGTATATCATTGTGAGTACGTATCTCTATCCAAAGTTTCACATCATCAGCAAAAAGCAATAAATCAGATGAAACTTGTTGAGGAAGATCGTTAATATAAATCAAGAAGAGAAGAGGTCCTAGTATTGAGCCCTGTGGGACCCCACTAGGACATTCTATAGCCTGAGAGAGAGTGAAGTTAACCCTGACCTTAAAATGTCGGTTTTCTAAGATCATATCTAAGATCAAAGCACGTTTCTACTTGAAGATTGCTCTTAAGACTGGACACAGTAGTCTGAAATAAAAGGAACGGAGGAAAACGTAGACCAGTTTGTTAGGGATAACGAATGGGTAATAGGTAATAATACACAAATGTAGATTGTGGGTAGTCCAGCACATTAAGGAATATTAGAAATCTCATTGGATATCGTAAATATTTAACAAATTTATAGAAAAGAACGATCGAAAAAATTAGTAATGTGCAAGAATAGATTCAGGGCAATCTATTGAACTGAAAGTTTAGAATTTCGAACTTGTAAAGGGGGAGCAGTAGAGCAAATCGTGCGCTTTGATTGTCATGACACTAACCAAACATTCAAGGTATTCAAATGATCCAACTGGTTCTGGATCGGCTTCAGACTCGAGAAGAGTAAGTGTTCAACTACGAACGTTTTTTGCTCAAACCTTTTAAATCTGGCATTTTCGCGAACAAGCAGATCGAAAGTTCCAAAAAGGCTACAGGCAGTATGTTGAAAGATTAAGGCAAACGTCTTAATACATATTAATTTCTGTGCTTTCAGAAATTATGAAGATCATGGAAATGGTTACGAATGATTCTTTTTGACTCTACTGACTTGAATGCTCCATTCGATATAACTGTGAATAACGATTTCTCCCAGGTAGATCATATAGTTCAAACCAATGACCATCTGGAACATTTGAACATTTAGTGGAACATAATTGTACCATGCATACATGCAGACAATATTTCTATTGAGCAGTTGGCTAAGTTAGACACTGAATCACGAGCACAATTCTGGGATCACTAAGTACTTGTGTGTGTTTGGTTTAGTGGTTACAAGGCTGTTTGATGGGAAGATTCGAGAATATTAGGTTGGTAGCTTCCATCCCTAAAATGGTGAAAATACAACCTGTGTTGAGATTTTATCCCTTAGAACAGCAGAAGGTATAACGAACAAGCTGGATTCTTTTCTCAAGAACCTGATATCAATAACCAGTTTGGAATTGTCATCCTAGAAGAAGAGATTAGGAATGTTGAAGTTACTCAGAAGTAAAGTGTTAGAAAAATCCCTTTCGAGAGCCTCTCTTGTAGCTTTTGGAAGTGAACTACTGACGAAAACTGACGATCCGGTTGGTATATGAAGTGAACGTAACGCATGAGAACCAAGAGTATCCTTCACATCGCACCATATTAGCATATTGGTAACTTATACTAGGAGATGGAATTTCATGAGGTGTGAGAGGAGTAGATAAGTAAAGCTCAGTCACAACAAATAGTATCTTATCTATTAACAAGAAGCAGTCGAAAATTGTCAAAGGAAAGTTCCCTTCCAGAAATATCCTCCGCAAGGGGATTTTCACTACTTAACATTTTACACTAATCCTTACTGTGAATAAGGGATTTTTCAACTGTTGTCCCTTTGCATTACTGTATAATTAGCGAGTGAGGTGAAGACAATCACTGGATATTGCAGCCAACCAGTGATTCATGTTGATGGGAATGTTTTCAATCAATATGCCAGCAAAGTTTATATACACAGTCTCAATTGCTACGCTCATATTCAAACCATCTAAACTTAATTCCTTTCAAGGCGTGAAGCTATACGAAGATTTGATGGTGACCATTAACGTGTCAGGTGATTTGAGAGTTGCCTGGAGTAGTCTAAGTGAATGTGATGAGGTAAGGAGTTGAATAACACAATTGACGAGTTCACTGTTTGGAGTAAGTTTCACTGAAACATACCGTTACTGTTCTAGGAAGAATAACATCCATCGATTCATCTGTGGTCCAGAGATTTTGTCAGTGAACTTCCAACGATAATTTGGTTTAAATATTCTCCGTAATACAGAATACTGTTAAATTCCCACTACGTGTTGTTGGGACGGAATGAACAAATAAACTAAACACGCTACACCCATTCGCTACGGCACAATAATTGACAGTCAACAACGAATAAGTATTTAACATCCTGACCTATCAAAAATACCACGAACAATTGACTTGACCAAAAGTCTATTGAACAACTAACAGATGTACAGTTATTCTGCTTCGTTGTGTAATACTCCGTACAGCTCCCTGCAAAATATTGCCCAGCCATGTTGTAGTTATGGCTGCTGAACTAGTTTAATTTGATAGGGGCAAAAGAAGTCCAATAGTGTGTATGGATCTGTTGTTTCTCAACGACAAAGTCATCGAAGCAGAACATGCTAGAACTGAGAAGATCCACGTCCAACAGTTAAAATTATAGAGAGGGTCAGAAATGGTGAACACGGGAACTTTTGATCGTCATGATATGGTTCTGCAATGCCATCGAATCGGGATGTTCGATTTCTTGATTTACTAAACAATTTAGCTTTTGAACTTTGATGAATTTTTACTCCTCGTGAATTGTTTCCTTTTCGTTCTATAATCGTCTTAGTTTTGAAGGTGCGAATCGAACAAAAATTACGAAAATAGTTTCAGTGGGATGGAAACACCAAAGCAGAATTTAAAACAAAAAATGACAACATCAACAGTGTCTTCCAATGAGGCTTTCGTAAAGTAATAATAATAATAATAATAATAATAATAATAATAATAATAATAATAATGATATATTTCTGCAATAGCAGGGACACGCCATTTTTACAGGCATGATCTACAATTTACAACATATACTGGTTCACGGTATGCATCCCAAGCAAGGTTGTTTAGTAATTATAATCTATAAAAGTTGGTAGCAGTTCATTCGTTCAGATATAATGTGTTTTCATAAGAATAGTTTCCAAGGGGGCATGGCGTCCACGTTACATACCATATCCAATCTCGACAAAAAGTGTTTTAGGGTTTTGGTCGTGCTAAGTATTTATGTAATGCAGCTTTTTAAGTTTATAGTTGTTATAAAGTAGGCTTGTGGAGCGCCTGGTTTGAACTATGACCTTGGGGGAAGCGCGTTCGTTGAGCTTGTTCCAAAATGTGCCCCTTACATGCTTGCCATTTAGTCTAGATAGAACACTACTAACGCAGAAGTTTAAGAAGATCGAAGAGAAGAGAATAAGAACAGAAAATGATCAATGTGGAAACGAAGGAACAATGAAGTCTGAGATGACTGATTGACATTCTGCGAATGAATTATTCACTGTATGGTTCTCATATTGCACTAAGAGATTCTGTAATTTTGTGTTCAAATACATTTGATCGGCTTTGATGGTGTTCTCGTTTACCTCAGAGGTCTATATTAGTTACAGTCTTATTATCAAGGTTGAACCATTCACTAGGTGTCCATTTTTATCGGTATTTGCTTGCTGTTTTTCTATCTTTTCCTCCTAACAAATATTATTCTTGACTATCCGAAGTTTATAATTACGAAAATATGTTACGTTTAACTTCCCAAACTCGTCTTATCTTCATCATATGTATAGATATATATTGATAGTTGGTTATGCTTTGCACTTAATTGAATCTTGCATAGCATTACTTCAAATCATTGCTGCATAAATAACTATTCTACATGATATCTTACTGCATACTAAGTTATTTATTGATAAAATTTTTCTTTTTTCTTTTTTTTTTCGTTATTATGTTGGCTATACATACATAGTGGTTTACTCATATTCTGAGTCCACAAACATGCTTATTAAACTATTTACATATTTTGCCTTTCCTTCATTTCTATCCTCTTATTTTCTCTCTTTTGTTCTATCAAATCAGCTCAATATTCTTCTCAATTACACAGAACCCGATTCATTATTATTGTACTACCATCATAATTTTTTCTTCTTCCTTTCTTTTTCTCAAATATGGCAAGTGTTATGCTAACATTACTGAAACTTGTGTATCATTGTATTTCTGAAAAAATCCTAAATGGTTTCCCCATAACCCTTATGTACCCAAAAGATGTTTGTGAATAATAATAATAGTACTAAACAGCTCTCTTGTAGATTATTTAATCACGATTCTTGAATTGTGATTACACCACAATTACGACATACGTTTGGACTTAGTAGGGACTGAAGATAGTCTACCTTGCCATCTAGTGATTGGCACTAACAGGCCACCGAGATCTCTCATGCTGCACCCTTTTGTACTTTGAAAAGTGATGTGTCGTAAAAATTTTGTATAAGTTCCTGAAAGGCTTATGCGATTAATAAGCTGAATTAGTGCGTTAAAATAATCGAAAAAGGTAGCTTGTTGAAATATCTAGAAGGTATAAATAAGTGGCCCATATATTTAAACAGGCCACCAATGTATTACTTACGTGTTTTCCACTGTTGATATCGGTCTTAATTGCCTCTTGCCTTCAAGCTAGTTGTATCATCTGCCTTGACAAAGAATGCAATAACCGGTCTCAGATTCATCTTTATATCTGGGTGAACTGGTGATGTACGCAGAATCTTATGGTATGCATTGGACCTGCATACACCCATCACCCATTTCAGAATATTTATGGGCCAAGGGCTAGGCACAACTTTATCAGGCTCCCTAACATTCGACTGATCTCATAATTTAGGATGAAATGTGAAGTTTCATATACTTACACCTTTCCATAGGATGCAATTAGAATAAAATACTGAACACCTGAAAAGTTTCCTCCTCCTAATCCCTCCAGATCTGATATTTTAATGATTAACAGAAGTGAGAGACCCTTCTTATTCCTTTTTAGCTATCCTAGCACCGTATTTTCACCGATAAAAATGATCTGGACATCAGCCGACGTGATAGGGATGAATGGTTTACCAACTTCCACAGAAATCCCTACATTTATGTTAGTTTAAACGGTACTGTACTTTAAAGGACCATCAACAAAAAGTAAACTGAGAAATTGATTCTCAAATCTAAGTAAATGATGACTGTGAATTCTTTCTAACAGGATATCATGTGATGCTACTCAGTATGTCACGCAAACAGTCTGCAAAAGTTTCAAACTATCCAAGGTCATAAGAAATCACATCATGCGATCATCAAAACTGAAAAGATACTTTTGGGCAGAAAACGAATGTGCTAGCAAAAACAGCACATAATAATAATTTATTCTCAAATAACGGAATGTTACATGAGGCATGCCGGTTTACAGGCAAGATCAAATTGTCAAAGAAGTTACAATTTTCACTGTTGAAAATTACTCAGCTGGGTTGGTATTTCATAAGATATGAATGTAAATGGATTTCGTAAGAAACATGTCAATATCACACTTGGCGCACTTTATGGAGGTAGCGTTGCAACTTACAACTGATGGTCGAGAATAGATACATGCGAAGTTGGGGGCTTTTAGAAGTTTCGAACTTATATCCCTCCAGAATATCGGAAGCTTTAATAACGGTGTAGGACGAAGTCACCCGTGCCATACCTGTTTTTGGTG